AAATCCAACTATTAGCCTACGGAAACCGGAAAATATAAGCTTATCCCGCCTTCGAGCGTTCACCAAACCTGTCGTCTCAGATTTCTTCAGTAAACTTGAAAGCCTTCTTTTAAAACATTCCTTTAAGCCCGAAGACATATACAACCTCGACGAAACCGGCATTACAACAGTAATGGACTCTGTTAAAGTAAGTTTACATATTTTTGTGAATAAGTAATTCTCATTTTCTAAGAAATTAACCAAATTTTTAGATAATTGCGGAAAAAGGTAAGAGAACTGTTTCACAAACCGCATCAGGGGAGAGAGGAACCTTAGTAACATTGGTTGCCATTGTCAATGCAGCAGGCAATCATGTGCCTCCAGTATATGTATGCCCTCGAAAACGTTCAAACCCTTTGTTCATGAAAGGCGCAATGCCTGGAGCCCTTGGACTCTTTACCGACAGTGGGTGGATGAATGCAGACATTTTTCTTAACGTTTTAAAACATTTGAAAAACTTTACGAAATGCTCCAAAGAAAATTTTATTCTTCTTCTGCTGGATAATCATGCATCACACTGCTCACTGGATGCTATTTTGTACTGCCGTGACAATGGAATTGTTATGCTTTCTTTCCCACCGCACACGTCTCATCGATTGCAACCTTTAGATGTGGCAGTATTTGGACCATTTAAGAAACAATGCAAAGCCTCATTTAATAACTACCTAGTCAGTAATTCAGAAAAAACACAAGGAATCACAATATATGATGTACCGGCGCTTTCATCTGCCCCATTCCTCAGAGCGTTTTCCCCAGAGAACATTACAAAAGGATTTTCGTCTACAGGAATTTTCCCTTTTAATTCCAATATATTTGATGGAAGCGAATTTTGTCAAGTAGAAGAAATTGAAGATAACAGAGAATACAACGATGGACCTACTTGTTCTTTAAATTCTCTAACTGAATATAGTTCCACCACGATCCGTTTAAATCCCAATGTATTAACCACCTCAGTGGATAAAACGCATCATAGCACACCAGAGAATATTCGACCGCTTCCAAAATTAAAAAACAAAAAAACTCGCAAAGGTCGTCCGGCCGGAAAATCAAGAATCTATACTGAAACTCCAGAAAAGGACCGATTAGTAGATCTCTCATTGCAAAAGGCCAAAAAACAAGAGCAATTTAAGATTAAAAGAGCAAAGATCGTGAAACGGGTCCTTCTTGATTCTTCTAGTAATGAAAGTGACAATTATAGCGTTAGAGACTCGGACAATTCCTTGAAATGGCAAGAGAGCGATGATTCAAAAAGCGAAGACTTGGAAAAAATAAAGTTAAACGATAATGTGGATGCCGTTTGCGACGACTATGTCCTCATTAAATTTGGAAATGAAAAGAATTTCTATTACGTTGGATTGGTAATAGCTGTTGCAATGGACAATAATTTGCCATACACAATCAAATATTTCAGAAGACAAAAAGATTCGTGTACTTTTTACGAGCCTGTAGTAGAAGACATCAAGCTAGCACTGCCAACCGATTTGGTAGCCAAACTTCCAGATCCTATACAATTGCCAGGGACCTCTAGCGCAAAGGAAAGATACAATTGAAAGTAAATTTTTCAGGTCTCGACGTTCGTTAAAATAATTAAATTAAATTTATGTGAAACTTTTTGATCTATTTTTAATACTTACTCCAATTAATGTAAACAAATGAATTTAAATCATAAATGAAGTAAATATTTTAAAACAAAAATCAAATACATCTTTGCAGTTTCTACGAAATAATATAAATGTCAAATCCTACTGCACGTTGTTAAATCCTCCTACGGCTCTGTCAAATCCTCCTTATTAATAGGATGTTTTGACACTTTTCCCATTTTCTTTGTTTCATTCCGTATCAAGAAAACTGTTTAGTGTTGACGTTTGGATTATGAACGATTTTAAAGTCTAGTATTTAAGAATCAGTAACAGCTATAAAATGTTTAGCTAAATGCTAAGTTTTTTTTTGAAAATTACAAAAATTTATTTTTATGTCAAATGCTCCTCGCTCTACCCTACTCGCTTTAAGGCTTGGTACAAGTGTGGTCATTTTCGAACTAGTTCGGTATGAGTTAGCAAATTCTAGTTGTAAACTAGTATTTTTCCTGACTAGTTTGGGGTTTCACTGCAGGATATTTTCAGTGTTTAAATTTATGCTTTTTAAAAAGGCTCTTTGGAAGACTTTTAATACAAGAGCGTAAAAAATCTTCATTTTGAAGATAAATCTTCCCTTATGGCAACGCTGTTAGGAGTAAAATTAGAGTTAAATCGTTAAATATTTAGCCCAGCAGTTTTCGAAGGTTAACTTGCTAACTCTACATATGTCAATTCCGCCAGTAACAAGAAAAAATAAATTGAGATTTCAAAAATATTTTCGAAACATATGTACGTACATACATACATATGTACATATTCACGTATTTAATTTTCCCCCTTCATCTCTGAGGTTTCGGTCAGTCTGGTGTAAAAAATATATGCGATTAAAATACACCAACCGTGTTAGTAGTCCATCCAGCCTCCTCAGTGTTGATCGTATTGCCGTGGCGAGGGGGCTTAAATGGTGTCATGGTATAATTCACAGTGTGAATTGTATCATGCCTCCATGAACTAAGAGGGAAGCCTGGTATTGAAGCCTTCGGCAATATTCCTTAACAATCCAAGCTGGAGTGTTGTTTTTATTGTTGAAGGTGGAAATGGCAGTATTACCGTACCAACACTACCCAAGCCAAGGTGTGTAGGCAACCGTGCCGATGGATGAATGGCCAGCGGGTAGTAAAAAATGGCTGGTCGCGTACGGTCCCCTCCGATGCCCGGGCAAGGTCGGTTGTAAGAAGTGCGTTCTCTACGCATCCCGGCTCTGCGGACGAGCGACTAACCCTTTCCGGACTACTCGTGGTACCACATATGGAAAAATAAGAACAAACAAAAAACCAACAACAAACAAACCAACAACAGCAACATGAACAGCATACCAGCGAAGAAGGGGACGACGTAACGCTGTCAGAGGAGGAGCAGCTCCTCAAATCCCCAAAGACAGGTAAGATGGTTGCAAGTACTCCTGGTGGCGCCAGCCATAGTACCCCAGTTGTACAAGCGCCAGAAACCAGCAGGGTGGAAGATGCCAGACAAAGTATCACCGCTCTGCAAATAGTCAAAAATAGCACCGGTAGTGCCTGCCTTAGTACCTCGGACGAGCAACCAACAACCAGCAAATCGGCGGCCGTTGCAGGCAGCAATCCCGCCTCTAAGAAAAGGCGTGGTCATGAGACAGATGTACCAGAAGACGCTGTATATGTGAAATAAAATTGACAAAAATGCAGCGGCCGGTACGGTACATGAGCGTGACGAGGAAGACAAGGAAAAATACATGCAAATAGTGGAAGAGTACGAAAAGTTACAGAGAGATCGTCACAATCGAGGCCACCGAGCAAAGAAACGGAACCGCTCTCATAGTGAAGGCGGCCAAGGGGCCATTGCAAAGAAGGCTAAGCAAGGAGGTGATGCGGAGTCCGCAGCACCCGCGAAGCATCGCTATTTTAGTGACGACGCCAGAGATCACCTACAGGCGATAATAGATGAAAATAGCAAGACACCCCTAGCAGTGCAGCAAAAATGGGTGGAGATTGATGTGAGGCTGTCGAGCCTCGTAATGAACTACGTACTCGATAACCCCGAAGGTCCTCACCCAGAGTTCGACTCGTCGGAATCCCTACGGGGCTACCGGGTTGCTGGATGCGTACGGTGACCATAAATATATTTTAAATATGCAGGACAATTTTTCAACAAATTTACCTACATATAATTGCGTAGTTTAAAAATAACAAAAATATACTACATATATACATTCCTCGTCATTTGAATAGCGCACCATTTTTTTGATTTTCTACTATACAAAGTATGCTTGACACAATTTTTATATGGAAGAAAATGCGCAGCACCGTCAGAAAAAAATTGTCGCCCCTATGTTTATTTTTTTTTAATTTTCAGAATATGCTATATTTTTATAAAAAGCTAATGAATATTGAACAAACAAAAGGAAAACTGTACCTACTAAGTATTAAAAGGATACGCTATTCAAATAACGAAGAGTTTATATTTCTTAATTATTAATCCAATTTTAAACTTTGAACATAAATCACATTTGCTTCATTGGTATTAATCTTTTAGTAATGTATATCTACCATAATATAATAAGGCATGTTACATATTACTTTACACGAAAAAAATACCCATGGTTTCAAAGAAGTGTTAGTACTTTTCCAGTTATTCCTCAATATCTCATGAAACGACCAACAGTTCGAAAATTATTGTAAGGCTCTGTGCAAAAATGTATATTTTTTGTGCAGATTGTGTTCCGTAACATCTACATTTCTCAACAGATTTTCATTTACTGTAAAAAGAAAATGATTGAAATTTAAATTTTTAGATTTTGGTCGCTTGTAACACTATAATTTTCATCGAAATCGGCAAAGTAATATATTTTTGTAAGAGGACTGTAGGTCGCTTTGTTGATTGGATAATTTTTTCATGAGATATAAACGAATAGGTTCAAAATGTACCAAAAAACACGTTTTTCGAAAAAATTACGAAAACGCTTATATAAAAGAAAAATTGGCTTGGAAAATATTTTTGTTTCTTAAGCGATTACCACAAAATTTGTAGAACAGTGTTATCGATATATTTGATGCTGGTCTTCAATTTCTCGTCATCCATTGTCCATAACCGTACAATATTTAGAACGCATTGACTAGTTGAACCTTCAAAACCAGCTTACTCTTATGTAGTTATCAATTAGTTATCGACACTGCTTTTATTTCGATTAGCAAAATTTAATTTTAAAATATCGAAGAAAATGCGGGACAAAGGCAGGACACTTGGAAAAAATCAGTACATTTTGGGGGTTTTCTGTTTTGAAAAACTACGCAGGACAGACCTTTAAATAACAGTACAGTCCTGCAAAAAACAGAACGGATGGTCATCGTATGGATGCGTCGCTAAGATCAGCGACACTTTTGTCGGCTTGAAGCTCAAGCTGATCCCAGCTAAGGACATTCCAAGGAGACCACGTGCGCACATTTGTCTGCCTCCGATGGATGAACCAGGCGAAAAGTTGCTGCGGTGTCTTAAGCTACATAATAAAGACATACCGGCGATCGAGGAATGGGAGCTTATAAAGGTTGAAGAGCCAAGAAGACCTATAAATAAGCCCATTCTGCTAGCTATTTGCGCAGAATCACTAGACGCCTTAGAGAAGGCTGACTATCGGCTCTGCTTCGGTATCCGTAAGGCTAGAGTGCGGGTATTCCTCGGAGAGGTTAGCCCGGTAGAAGAAGATCTCGGGGTTGATGGAGCTGGTGAGCTTCTCATGGGTGTGAAGCTCACAGATGACCCTGAACCGGAAACTTAAAGTAGCCCAAATAAATCTGCAGCACTCCAAATGTGCTACAGATAATCTAGTTGTCCTTCTCAGTGAGGAGGATATAGACATTAGCCTAATTCAAGAGCCCTGGGTCAAGCACGATACAGTCATGGGACTAAACATAAATAATTATAAACTCTACTATAAGAGCGAGGTGGGTAAGCCGCGGGCGTATATTCTTATCAAGAACGGTATAAATGCATTCCTTTGCTCTAATTTCAGCACATCAGATACAACAATGGTTAAGGTGGAGACCACCGGGCAGCCAAGTATACTCCTGGCCTCATCATACATGGCCCACGATAGGGACAGTCCGCCAAACCGAAATCAGTTCTACGGAGAACGACCGAGGTGAGTCTTTACTACACTTCTTATTAAATACTAACTTAAGCATCTGCAATAGAGGTAATACACCCACATTCATATTCCCGAGTTCAAACCGGTTTCCTGGATGGGAGGAGGTGCTGCATCTAACCCTGTTGTCAGAGAACGATAGCGTGTCTATAGAAGAGTGGAGAGTATCTGATAGGCCTTCAATGTCTGATCACCGTCTGATCCTCTTTAATCTGCACGGAATTTCCAACACCCCCTCGAAATACAGAAACCCCCACAGGACTAATTGGGAAAGATATAGTAATACACTTAAGCGTAAACTAAGTAAGCTCCCACTAAATGAAACTGTCACTACAGTTGAGGACCTTGATAATAGAGTAAATAAACTAGAAGAGGTTATGAAGAAAGCCTTTGAAAGATCAACTCCAGTTAGTACAGCAAGAAATAAATCCCCACCCTGGTGGAATGGGGATCTCAGAGCCCAAAGAGCCAAATAAGGAAAATCTACAATGATTGCTTTAGAACGAAAAACTGGGCGCCTTATAAAAGCGCCCTAAGATCTTATAAAAAGGAATTGAGAAAATCTAAAACTAAATCCTGGCAATCTTACTGCTCTTCTATAGAGAACTCCAAAGACTCAGCCAGGCTCAGCAAAACCCTATCAAAAGAACACACAAATATCACACTAATTAAGGGAGAAAACGGGGTGTGGACGAACACAGCTAGTGATTCTCTAAACACGTTAGTCAAGTTCCATTTCCCGGGATGTATTCGACATCCACCCACATCAGGGTCAATTGAACCTGGTTCAACTAGCAGTATACTGTTGAACTCGGTCGTGAGCAGGGAAAAGATTATTTACGCTATTAACAGCTTCTCTCCCTTCAAATCCCCTGGACCAGATGTCGTAATCCCAGCAATGCTCCAGAGGGTGAAGGAAGAGATAGCACCGTTACTTGAGACTATTTTTAAGGCTATTATTACCTTGTGCTACATTCCTAAAAGCTGGAGAAGGGTAAAAGTCGTGTTCATACCCAAGCCAGGAAGGAAAAACCACGAAATAGCAAAATATTTTAGACCCCTAAGCCTTACCTCCTTTGTGCTTAAAACAATGGAAAGGCTTCTCGACATTTATATAAGATCGCTGTTAGGTGAATCGACACTCTCAACAGCACAACATGCATACATCAAAGGCAGATCCACTGAATCTGCTTTACATGAAATGGTGAGCTTAATAGAAAGATCGTTGCACTTTAAACAATATACTCTGGCGGCATTTCTTGACATCGAGGGCGCATTTAATAACATTGAGGTTGACACCATCATAGACTCTTTGATAGATATTGGTGTTGACGACAGTGTTTGTAGATGGATATGATCGATGCTAGTCAATAGAATCATTCAGGCAACAAATGGGGCTAACTCTATTATACATAATTTGAACAGGGGCACTCCACAGGGCGGAGTATTGCTAGAACTCAATAGAGGGGGAATCAAAGTTGTGGCGTATGCGGATGATGTTGTAATAGCAGCCACAGGTCCATTCCTCTCTACCGTTAGCGAAATCCTTGAAGGAACCCTGGGAAGGCTACACACCTGGGCTATGAGAAGCGGCCTAAATGTGAACCCAGCCAAGACAGAACTTATCCTATTTACAAACAGTCACAAACTACCACAATTTAAGCTACCATCGCTAGACGGCAAGGCGTTATCATTGTCCCCCAGCGCACAGTATCTTGGAGTCGTGCTGGATAACAAACTTAACTGGAAAACAAATGTCGAATTCCGTAGACAGAAGGCCTACATAGCATACTACACTTGCAGGAGAATCTTCAGTAGAAACTGGGGACTAAATCCTAAACTTGTGATGTGGATGTATACCGCGATCATAAGACCAATTCTAACATACGGCGCCTTGGTTTGGTGGCCCGGCCTTAGCAGACAATATAATGGCAGCAAGCGCAGGAGTAACAGGCGCACTAAGATCTTGCCCGGCAGAAGCTTTAAACGCCATCCTCAATTTAATTCCTATTGATCTCCACCTGAAAGAAGTGGCTATGAAATCGGCGGTTAGACTCAGAGAGTCGGACCTTTGGAGGACTAGACACTTCGGACATGGGTTGATCATAAATCAAATGCAATTAAATAAGACGACGGATTATATGGTAGGCAATTTGGACTTCAGCTGTAACGTGCAAGTGCTATTCCCATCCAGAAGGGACTGGAGAAGAGACCGAGTGGCCGACCGAGAGAAGATCTCTATATACACCGATGGATCCAAGAGGGATTGCGGTGTGGGAGCAGGTGTCTACTCCAAGTAACTCGGTGTGGCTCTGTCTCTACGGTTGGGAAATAATACAAGCATCTTCCAAGCGGAAGTCCTAGGGATCCTAGAAGCCTGCAAAATCCTGGGCAATAGAGTTGGACACAGCAGTAAAGCAACAATATACTCTGAAAGCCAGGCGGGCCTATTGGCAATAGCGTCCCAAATCCAAGCTAGTTGGGGATGCAAAGTAATATTGCGCTCAGTGTCTCAGTCAAATACCGTCTCTCTTGTCTGGGTTCCCGGACATAGGAACATAAAAGGCAATGAGAAGGCGGATGAGTTGACGAAGGCAGGAGCCGGTTTGGATGAATCCCAGGCAGTGGCACTGGGTTGCCCTCTTGGAGTAGTCCAAAGAGAGATTACTACGCATTTCCTTGAACTGGCTAGACGCAGTTGGTAAGATATACAGACTTGTAAGATAGCGAGAAAACTATGGCCTGACTATAACAGGGCGAAAACCTTGGACCTCCTTAGCAGATCAAGGCCAGAGGTATTTAGAATTTTAGCAACCATCACGGGCCACTGGCCCATAGGCAAACATGCGGCAAAAATAGGTCTACCCCATAATATGATTTGCCGCAGCTGTCAACTAGAATATAGCGAAGAAAGCGTCCAGCATTTCCTGTGTGAATGTCCAGGCCTTTCGAACATTAGACACAAGACGTTAGGGAAACATCTAGTAGCAGAACTAACCGACCTATCAGGAGCTACCATTAGCGAAATCGGCAGATTCATTAGAGAGTCGAAATGGTTCGACCTAGCAACATAGGAAGTGCATAGACAAGATATTTATCCCCCGCGAGAAGTGCATCAAAATAGCGCAATAATGCGCTAATTGTGTCCTGGGCAGTGACTAGGAAGCACTGCAACCAACCAACCAGTCCATCCAATTCAGAGTCTTCTCAGAAGTGCAGCCGGCCAATTTACAATTTGTACCTATGTATGTATGTATGTATGTATGCATGTATGTAAGGGTTTCAAATTTTATATTGAAATTCTAATAGGAAATGTAAACAAACGTCAAAACAGAGAGAGTGGTGCCTACTTAATTTAGAAATCCCGCGGTTTACTTAACTCTGAGCCAGTTTTCGATGCTGGAAGACATTGTCTGGTTTAGGAATATATCAATTTAATTCTGAGCTACTTAACTCTCTATTTATATATTTAACTCTGGATGTTCTGCAAGTGGGCCTTAGAAACCTTTTTTCAACTTATGTTAAGCACTTTGCTTTCAATTTTCAAAAATAACTTTGTCAACCGATTTGGCGGGTACAAATATTCGCGCTCGAGCACTTACTGCTTTCAATACACTTTCTAGAGCTGGGATACTATCGATAGTACCGCCACTCGATCGTTTTCGAAACGATAGTAGAAAACATCGATAATATCGATAGTACTATCTAGGGAATCCAAACCCGGAAACGCGGGATACCGCGCCATTTATGCGGGATCAGAAATGAGGGATTACACATGCGAGATCTGCGGGATTTTCGGGACTACAGAAAAAAATTTAAAAAGACGAATGAATGGTTGTGAACGTGCTCGCCAAGATGTTCGTCGTGCATGTCTGTATTAAATATACATCATTTTATAACCCAGTAGATAATTTCAGGAGATAAAGTCCTTCCGACAGACCTTCCAGAGAGTCAAAAGGCCTTCCACTCTACATTCCTTTCTCCTTTCTTTTTTGTATGGAATGGCATCAATTGAAGGGCTTCTTCTTTCACTTCACATAGAAGGCCTTCAGAAGAAAGTGAAGACTTTCCATAAGTGCTTATTATTTCTAAAACTACGCATTATTTTAAGTGAATCGCGGAGAAGGTTTTGATCAAAAATATTTACTTGTCAGAACTTTTTTGATATGGAGCTGAAAGCTGAAGGTATGTAGAATATTCCAAGTATTTTTTTCTTTAAAGTGTCTTAATAGTAGTTTAAATATAATTTTAAATAAGCGGCAGAAAGTATAAAAAAAATGCCTTTTCCGATTTATCAAATCTTTTAATTACTTTTGCACCAAATTGCACGCATGATATTAGTACCAAAATGTTTGCATAGATCTCTAGTTTCAATATCAAAACCCTCCAACTGCGTTTAGCTGCCTCTGGGTAATGCATAAAGATTATACGACAACCCTCAATTTCAAAAAGGTTTTCAAGGTTTCACTTTTTTTAATTGGCACTATTGACCATTTTTTAAAATTTATTTTACGATCGAGTTATAAGTGTTCTTTTGCTCGAATGTTTATATTGGACAAATGGCTGTCCTATCGAAGCTTCAAAAACTAAAAACGGAAACGGAAAGTTTTTGAAGCCCTGACACAAGCTATGCCATCAGGCGAAAATGTAAATACTGACAGTTTGAAAAATTGCATTTTCTACCTTTGCCGAAAGTTTCTGAAATATTGGAAGCAAGTTAACAGAACAAGATCCAGACTAATCACCAAATACTGCGACTGGTTAAATGAAAATGAAAATTGCACTCTTTTTACATTTGCAAAGACTGGTAATGAAGATTTGCCCTCTACA